CGGCATGCGACAGGATCCTTCGTCCAGCAGTGGGTAGATCATGGCGCATGATTGATGACGACGTCTTGTTACGCACGTGATAAGACGTCGTCATTTCTTCAGACGCGATGTTTGTTGTCCTACCCCCCGAACCTGCGCCGAGCAAGGTTGCCCACGCACGGCGCCACACAAGTCCAACATGCACACTTTAGTCGCTTTGTCTGACGAATTCCACAACATTTTCCCAAGAAGAACAAAACTATTTTGACCAATATCATTGCCACCCCAATTTAAAACGCCTCCTCCTCTATCCTGTACCCAGACCTCGGCCTGCCTTCCACAGTCGCTGTCACGTTCAGTACCCCCTCAAGTCCCCGCCACCTCCTCCTGTAATTAGGGCTGACCCATCCCCCCCTCAGCCCCCAATAGCCCCTCCCCTAAATCCCCCAGGCCCCACCCGGCCAAATCCCCCACCCCCCCGCCCCCCGCCCCCTGACCCTTAATGGGATTCCTAGGACCATCACTGGCCTCGCCAATCAGAGAGAGGTCAATGTGATTTTCATTTCGATTCAGTGGCCTTTATTTAACCAGCCGAGAACCTTTATTTAACCGACCGAGAGCTCAGCTGCAATTCGTTATCTGTTGTTAAGAGTCCGGTGTGCGCTGGGCGGAGAGATTGTTTATGCGTTTGTTTATTTATTTACGTGCACTCGATTCGATCTCCCGGGAGGTAAAAAGAATGGGAGAGAGGAGAGTGCAGATAACGGGGAGATACAGCAGAGAGAGAAAGAGGGGGAGGTAAGGGGAGATACAGCACAGAGAGAGAGAGGGGGAGGTAAGGGTAGATACAACAGAGATAGAGAGAGGGGGAGGTTAGGGGAGATACAGCAGAGAGAGAGAGATGGGGAGGTAAGGGGAGATACAGCAGAGAGAGAGAGAGAGGGGGAGGTAAGGGGAGATACAACACAGAGAGAGAGAGGGGAGGTAAGGGGAGATACAGCACAGAGAGATAGAGGGGGAGGTAAGGGGAGATACAGCACAGAGATAGAGGGGGAGGTAAGGGGAGATACAGCAGAGAGAGATGGGGAGGTAAGGGGAGATGCAGCACAGAGAGAGAGGGGAGGTAAGGGGAGATACAACAGAGAGAGAGAGGGGGAGGTAAGGGGAGATACAGCAGAGAGAGAGAGGGGAGAGAGAGAGAGAGCAAAATGAGTAAAAATGAGGTAGGGGGAGATTCATGAGAGACGGGGAAGGGAGGAATAGCTGCAGGAAGCAATCACGCGTGCATAGCTCACCCGGCTTGCACGCCTTACGCCTCGCTACGTCGCGTTATAATTATATTACTGGCTAATGACTCTCTTAACGGGCACACATACGTGTACGTATAACACCAACAATAACTCAAAACGTTCGTCAGTAACAATAGTAATAAGAATAACACTGTCTGGTCTTGAAATGAAACTAATATAATCGGCGACGTTACGGGCCGTAGTCCTTCGTGATAGCACATGCGATGTGTGTGCTATGAAGAAGGGGCATTGCCCGAGTTGCGATGAAATGGTGTTGTGTCTTTACTTGTGCGCCACTGTCGACGAAACATCAGCAGTATCAGCAGCACAATGAACGTGTCTATTGTTTATGTTTGTGTTGAACTTCCTTCGCACCGTACGTAGCCAACCGCGCTAAGCGGAGGTGCGGGGGAAGGACAAACAACACTAAACACAACAACAACAAGCCGTTCTAAAGAAATTAGTTTGTCAATATAGATGATGATGTTCTAGTGAAATAGCTCCCAGCGACTTCCTAATATCGGTGGGAAGAGCGTTCCAGACGGCCACAGGAGCGCATCTGAAAGCGCCGCGCGATGCGGTGACCGGCGTCTTTGTTCGATGTCGAGCAGCCAGAAGCCGCCGCAGCTGCCGCTGCTGCTGCTGCGAGGATGACCACCGCAGTTCATGTGATGGTGGTGATGGTGATGATGGTGGTGATGATGATGATGGTGATGATGATGATGGTGATGATGATGGTGGTGATGATGATGATGGTGATGATGATGGTGGTGGTGATGATGGTGGTGGTGGTGATGGTGGTGATGGTGGTGATGGTGGTGGTGATGGTGGTGGTGATGATGATGGTGGTGGTGATGATGGTGGTGGTGGTGATGATGGTGGTGGTGGTGATGGTGGTGATGGTGGTGATGGTGGTGATGGTGGTGGTGATGGTGGTGGTGATGATGGTGGTGGTGATGGTGGTGGTGGTGGTGGTGATGGTGGTGGTGGTGATGATGGTGGTGGTGATGATGGTGATGGTGGTGGTGATGATGGTGGTGATGATGGTGGTGATGATGGTGGTGATGATGGTGGTGATGATGGTGGTGGTGATGGTGGTGGTGATGATGATGGTGGTAGTGGTGGTGATGGTGGTGGTGATGATGATGGTGGTGGTGATGGTGATGATGATGGTGGTGATGGTGATGGTGGTGGTGATGATGGTGATGGTGGTGGTGGTGATGGTGGCGATGATGGTGGTGGTGGTGGTGATGATGATGGTGGTGGTGATGGTGATGATGATGATGGTGGTGGTGATGGTGGTGATGGTGGTGGTGGTGGTGATGGTGATGGTGGTGATGATGGTGGTGATGGTGATGGTGGTAATGATGGTGGTGGTGGTGATGGTGGTAATGATGGTGGTGGTGGTGGTGGTGATGGTGGTGATGGTGATGATGGTGGTGGTGGTGATGGTGGTGATGGTGGTGATGATGATGGTGGTGGTGGTGGTGATGATGGTGGTGGTGGTGATGATGATGGTGGTGGTGATGGTGATGGTGGTGGTGGTGATGGTGGTGGTGGTGGTGATGGTGATGGTGGTGATGGTGGTGGTGATGATGATGGTGGTGATGATGGTGGTGGTGGTGGTGGTGATGATGGTGGTGATGATGGTGGTGATGATGGTGGTGGTGATGGTGGTGGTGATGGTGGTGGTGATGATGATGGTGGTGATGATGATGATGATGGTGGTGGTGATGATGATGGTGGTGATGATGGTGATGGTGGTGATGGTGGTGATGGTGGTGATGGTTGGTGGTGGTGATGGTGATGGTGGTGGTGATGATGATGGTGGTGATGATGGTGATGGTGGTGGTGATGATGGTGGTGATGATGGTGGTGATGATGGTGGTGATAATGGTGATGGTGGTGGTGGTGATGGTGGTGATGGTGGTGGTGGTGGTGATGATGGTGATGGTGGTGATGATGGTGGTGATGATGGTGGTGGTGGTGATGATGGTGGTGGTGATGGTGGTGGTGATGGTGGTGATGATGGTGGTGGTGATGATGATGGTGGTGATGATGGTGGTAGTGATGATGATGGTGGTGGTGATGGTGGTGGTGATGGTGGTGGTGATGATGGTGGTGATGGTGATGATGATGATGGTGGTGGTGGTGATGGTGGTGGTGGTGATGGTGGTGGTGGTGATGATGATGGTGGTGATGATGATGGTGGTGATGGTGGTGGTGGTGGTGATGATGATGGTGGTGATGGTGGTGATGATGGTTTATGCTCCTTGTACGAGATCAGCAAATGTATGCATACGTACATGCTCATGTAGTTCACGTTATATGTGCGTGTGTGTATGTGTCAAGCAGTTCTCTAAACACATACACCTCAAGCAACACACACGCACACACACGCACACTGATGCAAAGACAAAGATTCTCCGTGCAGCCTTCAACGAGGCTGTTGGGGCAAGCGCTGTTAGCGGGTTAGCACCGACGAAGGCCGGCACGGCGATCCGAGCGGGTGGGGAGGCCAGCAACCCGCGGACACACCACCACACGCGGCATCTCACTCACCCGTCAACTCAAGGCACGCGTCTTGTACATTGCAACAACAACAACAACAACGAGGATAATGAAAATGTGGAAGACAGTCACACACCCTGCCCCCATAGCTTCCACTCCTCTCCGGCTCCTGCCCCGACTGATTCATTTCTCGGGGACGCGAGAGAGAATAAATAAATAAATAACGACCCCCCCCCCCCCGCGCATTTATTTATTTAAATGTATTTACTTCGCCCTCGGGCAGCCCGGGACAGATGGAAGCGGCCATTTCTCCACTGCTTAATTTGCAAAAAGAATCATCCATAACTGGGAATTGATCGAGTGGAGAGGCGGACACGCGAGTGCGCCCTGCCGGGTAGACTGAGGCGCGCTGATAGCGGCGTCGCCATGGCAACCACCCGGGGCGCCATGGCAACCGCCCGAATGAGCAGCTGCCTCAATCAGAGATCTCCTATGGAGAAGGAGGAGGAGGAGGAGGGGGCAACGTTGGGGGTAGAGATGAGGTGGTTGTTAGGGATGAGGAGGTTGTTAGGGATGAGGTGGTTGTTAGGGATGAGGAGGTTGGTAGGGATGAGGTGGTTGTTATGGATGAGGTGGTTGTTAGGGATGAGGAGGTTGTTAGGGATGAGGAGGTTGCTAGGGATGAGGAGGTTTTTAGGGTGAGGAGGTTGTTAGGGATGAGGTGGTTGTTAGGGATGAGGAGGTTGTTAGGGATGAAGTGGTTGTTAGGGATGAGGAGGTTGCTAGGGATGAGGAGGTTGCTAGGGATGAGGAGGTTGTTAGGGATGAGGTGGTTGCTAGGGATGAGGAGGTTGTTAGGGATGAGGAGGTTGTTAGGGATGAGGTGGTTGTTATGAATGAGGAGGTTGCTAGGGATGAGGTGGTTGCTAGGGATGAGGTGGTTGTTAGGGATGAGGAGGTTGTGAAGGATGAGGTGATTGTTAGGGGTGAGGAGGTTGCTAGGGATGAGGAGGTTGTTAGGGATGAGAAGGTTGTTAGGGATGAGGTGGTTGTTAGGGATGAGGTGGTTGTTAAGGATGAGGTGGTTGCTAGGGATGAGGAGGTTGTTAGGAATGAGGAGGTTGTTAGGGATGAGGTGGTTGGTATGGATGAGGAGGTTGCTAGGGATGAGGTGGTTGCTAGGGATGAGGAGGTTGTTAGGGATGAGGAGGTTGTTAGGGATGAGGAGGTTGTTAGGGATGAGGTGGTTGCTAGGGATGAGGAGGTTGTTAGGGATGAGGAGGTTGTTAAGGATGAGGTGGTTGCTAGGGATGAGGAGGTTGTTAGGGTGAGGAGGTTGTTATGGATGAGGTGGTTGTTATGGATGAGGGGGTTGCTAGGGATGAGGTGGTTGCTAGGGATGAGGAGGTTGTTATGGATGAGGTGGTTGCTAGGGATGAGGAGGTTGTTAGGGATGAGGAGGTTGTTAGGGATGAGGAGGTTGTTAGGGATGAGGAGGTTGCTAGGGATAAGGAGGTTGTTATGGATGAGGTGGTTGCTAGGGATGAGGAGGTTGTTAAGGATGAGGAGGTTGCTAGGGATGAGGAGGTTGTTAGGGATGAGGTGGTTGCTAGGGATGAGGTGGTTGTTAGGGATGAGGTGGTTGCTAGGGATGAGGAGGTTGTTAGGGATGAGGTGGTTGCTAGGGATGAGAGGTTGCTAGGGATGAGGTGGTTGTTAGGGATGAGGTGGTTGTTAGGGATGAGGAGATTGTTAGGGATGAGGTGGTTGTTAGGGATGAGGTGGTTGCTAGGGATGAGGAGGTTGCTAGGGATGAGGTGGTTGCTAGGGATGAGGAGGTTGTTAGGGATGAGGTGGTTGCTAGGGATGAGGAGGTTGCTAGGGATGAGGAGATTGTTAGGGAGGAGGAGGTTGTTAGGGATGAGGAGGTTGTTAGGGATGAGGAGGTTGTTAGGGATGAGGTGGTTGCTAAGGATGAGGAGGTTGTTAGGGATGAGGTGGTTGTTAGGGATGAGGTGGTTGCTAGGGATGAGGAGGTTGTTAGGGATGAGGAGGTTGTTAGGGATGAGGAGGTTGTTAGGGATGAGGAGATTGTTAGGGATGAGGTGGTTGTTAGGGATGAGGTGGTTGCTAGGGATGAGGAGGTTGTTAAGGTTGAGGTGGTTGCTAGGGATGAGGAGGTTGCTAGGGATGAGGAGGTTGTTAAGGATGAGGTGGTTGCTAGGGATGAGGAGGTTGTTAGGGATGAGGTGGTTGCTAGCAATGAGGTGGTTGCTAGGTATGAAGAGGTTGTTAGGGTTAGGTGGTTGCTAGGGATGAGGAGGTTGCTAGGGATGAGGAGGTTGTTAGGGATGAGGTGGTTGTTAGGGATGAGGAGATTGTTAGGGATGAGGTGGTTGTTAGGGATGAGGTGGTTGCTAGGGTTGAGGAGGTTGTTAAGGATGAGGTGGTTGTTAGGGATGAGGTGGTTGCTAGGGGTGATGTGGTTGTTAGGGATGAGGAGGTTGTTAGGGATGAGGAGGTTGTTAGGGATGAGGAGGTTGCTAGGGATGAGGAGGTTGCTAGCGATGAGGAGGTTGCTATGGACGAGGAGGTTGTTAGGGATGAGGAGGTGTGGGATAGGCCGGGAAGGAGAGAGGGTGAGTGTGAGGAGGTGGAGAGCCGTGGGGATGAGGTGAGGAGAGTTGTGAGGGGAGGATAATTAATGATAAGAGAGGTGTGAAGAGGAGGAGGAGGGGGCCAGATGTGAGATTGTTTTCCCCTCTAAAGATAAAATCCAACGCAGTTGCGATACCCTCCAACACATGGCTCTGACGTCAGGGTTACAATCACACCACATCTGTAGTTGTCAACACATGGCTCTGACGTCAGGGTGACAATCACCACACCTGTAGTTGTCAACACATGGTTCTGACGTCAGGGTGACAATCATACCACACCTGTAGTTGTCAACACATGGCTCTGACGTCAGGGTGACAATCATACCACACCTGTAGTTGTCAACACATGGCTCTGACGTCAGGGTGACAATCACACCACACCTGTAGTTGTCAACACATGGCTCTGACGTCAGGGTTACAATCACACCACACCTGTAGTTGTCAACACATGGCTCTGACGTCAGGGTGACAATCACCACACCTGTAGTTGTCATCACATGGCTCTGACGTCAGGGTGACAATCACACCACACCTGTAATTGTCAACACATGGCTCTGACGTCAGGGTGACAATCACCACACCTGTAGTTGTCAACACATGGCTCTGACGTCAGAGTGACAATCACACCACACCTGTAGTTGTCAACACATGGCTCTGACGTCAGAGTGACAATCACACCACACCTGTAGTTGTCAACACATGGCTCTGACGTCAGGGTGACAATCATACCACACCTGTAGTTGTCAACACATGGTTCTGACGTCAGGGTGACAATCATACCACACCTGTAGTTGTCATCACATGGCTCTGACGTCAGGGTGACAATCACCACACCTGTAGTTGTCAACACATGGCTCTGACGTCAGGGTGACAATCACCACACCTGTAGTTGTCATCACATGGCTCTGACGTCAGGGTGACAATCACCACACCTGTAGTTGTCAACACATGGCTCTGACGTCAGGGTGACAATCACACCACACCTGTAGTTGTCAACACATGGCTCTGACGTCAGGGTGACAATCACCACACCTGTAGTTGTCAACACATGGCTCTGACGTCAGAGTGACAATCACACCACACCTGTAGTTGTCAACACATGGCTCTGACGTCAGAGTGACAATCACACCACACCTGTAGTTGTCAACACATGGCTCTGACGTCAGGGTGACAATCATACCACACCTGTAGTTGTCAACACATGGTTCTGACGTCAGGGTGACAATCATACCACACCTGTAGTTGTCATCACATGGCTCTGACGTCAGGGTGACAATCACCACACCTGTAGTTGTCAACACATGGCTCTGACGTCAGGGTGACAATCACCACACCTGTAGTTGTCAACACATGGCTCTGACGTCAGGGTGACAATCACCACACCTGTAGTTGTCAACACATGGCTCTGACGTCAGAGTGACAATCACACCACACCTGTAGTTGTCAACACATGGCTCTGACGTCAGGGTGACAATCACCACACCTGTAGTTGTCATCACATGGCTCTGACGTCAGGGTGACAATCACCACACCTGTAGTTGTCAACACATGGCTCTGACGTCAGGGTGACAATCACCACACCTGTAGTTGTCATCACATGGCTCTGACGTCAGGGTGACAATCACACCACACCTGTAGTTGTCAACACATGGCTCTGACGTCAGGGTGACAAACACCACACCTGTAGTTGTCAACACATGGCTCTGACGTCAGAGTGACAATCACACCACACCTGTAGTTGTCAACACATGGCTCTGACGTCAGAGTGACAATCACACCACACCTGTAGTTGTCATCACATGGCTCTGACGTCAGGGTGACAATCACACCACACCTGTAGTTGTCAACACATGGCTCTGACGTCAGGGTGACAATCACCACACCTGTAGTTGTCAACACATGGCTCTGACGTCAGGGTGACAATCACCACACCTGTAGTTGTCAACACATGGCTCTGACGTCAGAGTGACAATCACACCACACCTGTAGTTGTCAACACATGGCTCTGACGTCAGGGTGACAATCACCACACCTGTAGTTGTCAACACATGGCTCTGACGTCAGGGTGACAATCACCACACCTGTAGTTGTCAACACATGGCTCTGACGTCAGGGTGACAATCACACCACTCCTGTAGTTGTCAACACATGGCTCTGACGTCAGGGTGACAATCACCACACCTGTAGTTGTCAACACATGGCTCTGACGTCAGGGTGACAATCACACCACACCTGTAGTTGTCAACACATGGCTCTGACGTCAGGGTGACAATCACCACACCTGTAGTTGTCAACACATGGCTCTGACGTCAGGGTGACAATCACACCACACCTGTAGTTGTCAACACATGGCTCTGACGTCAGGGTGACAATCACACCACACCTGTAGTTGTCAACACATGGCTCTGACGTCAGGGTGACAATCACCACACCTGTAGTTGTCAACACATGGCTCTGACGTCAGGGTGACAATCACACCACTCCTGTAGTTGTCAACACATGGCTCTGACGTCAGGGTGACAATCACCACACCTGTAGTTGTCAACACATGGCTCTGACGTCAGGGTGACAATCACACCACACCTGTAGTTGTCAACACATGGCTCTGACGTCAGGGTGACAATCACACCACACCTGTAGTTGTCATCCCCGTGTCTACCCACTGCTCGATGAAGGCTCCTCTCGCCTCGAGCGCCCTCGGCCACAGAATCCATCTCGGCAGCTTCACGCACCGATTGGAAGAGAAAAAACCTCTCCTGTCGCGGTGCATGGCGATGCGGCTTTCACTCATCGCCTTTCACATCTTCACGAGCACTCCAATGGGCTCTCGGTCGCACATCGTCCCATCGTTTTGCCCCGACCAGCGTGGTGAAGTATGTAAACACATCTCCCCCCCCACCCCCCTCATGAAAGACGCGGCTTGCGCAGGCCTTCATCCAGTAGCGATTGATACGAGGTTGTGTACAGTACAGTTATAATCAACATGGTATGTGCGTGTGTGTACATACACACATACACAGTGTGCTTCAAAAACATGTTAACACTTAAGGAGAATTTGCAACAATGCCGAGAGAAATGTGGGTCCAGGGCTCTGGAGATCACCTGGAGAGGATCCCAGGCACGCGTTGACAATGATGGCCAACAAGTGGAGACTCTTTGACTTTTTGAAGATTATTGACATTACATGTATTTTCACGTTACAGTATAGTATGCGTTATTTTTCCATTTAAAACGATGGTATCCCATGGAGGTGTTAACATATTTGTTTGAAGCACCCTGTATATATAGGCAATGTTACGTGTGTGTCGCAAATGTGTGTATATACACATGCAATGCTACGTGCGTATGTCGCTATGTATACGCGGGAGGGTACGGTATGGGTCTAGGATGTGTGGCCAGGTTTCTGATGGACTCGGAAATTCCGAAATCGAGGACTAGGTACGAAATATCGGATTCCAATGTCTTCGATTTGTTAACCGGTTTTAGTTGACCGGTTTTATTTACGTGGTTACCGGCAACGGAACACGGTATTTTATTAATCCTAGTCTACACTGTATATATATATTTTTGCCCGTAAAAAAAGTCAACAAATCCGTCAATAATACCGTGGCCCAAAAAGTAAAAGAATATCATAGGCAACGTTTTGGGAAATGACCCTTCATAGTTGTGCGATGATCATTTGCGTGCTAAGAATAATGGTTAATGTCTGAAACGTCGCATACTATGCATTTTTCTATTAAGGCCATGACAATGCCCCTTGTTCATGAAGAAGGATAATTGCCTGAAACGTCGTCCATACGTTGAGTTGTTGTTAAGCGTTGCTTGTGTACCACTGCCAACGCAGCAGCAGCATCACCAACTTAAAACTATTAGACTACTAAACTATTTATATTCTCGGTTCTTTTGGTAAAGTCACGTAGAAGGGAAACAATAAAGTAATAAAAATATAAAACAATAAAATTTTCACGACGTTTCGACTGCAACACAAGCAATCATCATCAGGTGTGAAAACCCACAGCAAAAAAATTTGAAAAAAGTGGCGGTTTTTTTAAACGTTAGCACCACGGAGAGCGATTTGACAGTTATTCAGATGGACGAGTCCATCTATGTTCGGAAAAGAGGAGGGGGGAGACGAAAATAATGGATGCGGTCTGAAAGCCACCGTCAGCGTGAACAATCAGTTAAGACCTGAAATGGTTTATCAAATAATTCCAATGGTTGCTAAGCCAGAATCCATCTCGGTTGAAATTGTCTCTGTGTTTGTATATGTGGATAGCCTCATGAACGAATCCCGCATGGTAGCCAAAAATTAAAACTAAACTATTTCTTATGTTACCAGGAAAGGCCCGCTGAGCTGTACGGCTCTTTTTCAGAAGCGGCCTGGCTTTCACAAATGAAAGCTCAACGAGGTGGGCTTACTTTATGGAACTCTATTGCAGCCAAAAACTCTAAACGCGTGATGTTGATCCAGAATGCGGAGGGGGAAATACCCGGAGGGCCCGTAGAAAAATCCACGCGACCTCGGGGAAATAAGCACGCAAACTCCACATATACAGCAGGCGTCAGACTCGGGATCGAACCCACGACCTCCTGCATACCAGGCGAGGTAGTTAACATCTCCAAGACTCCGCGGCGCCTAACATCGCCGG